GGCGCGATCTTGGCTCACCGCAACCTCCGCTTCCTGGGTCCAGGCAATTCTCCTGCCTCAGCCTCCTAAGTAGCTGGGATTACAGGCACGCACCACCATGCCCAGCTAATTTTTTGTATTTTTTTAGTAGAGACGGGGTTTCACCATATTGACCAAGATGGTCTCGATCTCTTGACCTCGTGATCCACCCGCCTCAGCCTCCCAAAGTGCTGGGATTACAGGCTTGAGCCACCGCGCCAGGCCCCAATATTTCTTTTTTACTTAATATTCTTTTCAGTTCCAAGATCCCATTCAGGAGACCACATTAAATTTAGTCATCTTGTCTTCTTAGGGTCCTCTTGGCCTGACAGTTTTTCACAGGTTTTTTTGTTTTTGATGACCATGACCACTTTTGAGACCTGGTGATCAGATATTTTGTAGACTGTCCCTCAGTTGCAGACTGAGTACTTTGTATATTTTGCTGTTGAATTGTTTGGCTTCTTTGTATAAGAATTTCTTGGGAATTTAAATTAGTAGGGCCAGTATGGAAAACAGTCCTTTATCAGGTATGTTCTACAAAGGTTTTCTCCCAGTTCCTGCCTTGTCTTTTCTTTTAAAAAGTTTTAAAGTATTTACATGTTTATTTTTTGCTTTATTATTTTGACACATAATTGTGTATATTTATAGGGCACAGTGTGATTTTTGATACATGTACATAATTTGTAATAATAAAATCAAGGTAGTGAGCATATCCATCTCCCCAAATGTAATTTTTTTTTGTTTTGGGACCATTCAAAATCCATTCTTTTGCTATTTGAACAAATACAATAAATTATTATACTCTCCCTACAGTACTACAGAATGCAAGAACTTATTCTTCCTATCTCACTGTAAATTTGTATCTGTTAACCAACCTTTGGCTACTGCTCACCTCCCCAGTATCCTATAATAAGCATTATTCTATCCCTCTACTTCCCAGGGAATCATTTTTAGCTTCCACATATGGGTGAAACATGCAGCATTTTTTTTTTTAGGTTTGCAGAGAGCAATTTATTAGGCAGAGAGAGAGAAAGAAAGAGAAGGAGAGATAGCTCCCATGCTGCCATGGGAGGGGATCCAAAGAAGGAGTTCCAACATGCAGCATTTATCTTTCTGTGCCAGGCTTATTTCACTTAACATAACATCCTGTGAATGACAGAACTTAAATCTTTTTTATGGCTGAATAGTATTATATTGTTTGTATGTAACATATTTTCTTTATTCATCCATTGATGGACACTTAGGTTGAATTCATATCTTAGCTGTCGTATATAGACCTGTAGTGAACATGAGAGTACAGAAAACACTTCAGTACACTGATTTCCTTTCCCTTGGCTGTGTCTCCGATAGTAGTGGGACTGCTGGTCACCTGGTCATTCTGCTTTTGTTTTTTGTTTTTGTTTGTTTTAGGATGGAGCAATAGTTTATTTTTACACACTTTGACAAGGAGGTTTTCCATAAACAACCTTTCCAGTGGAGAACAGAGAACATGAAAATCGGCCTTCAGATATCAGTAGCTGTGTCTGGTCAGGGCCGAGGCTCCCCCTTGCCCATGTGGTGAGGTGGAGGGGTGGACTTCCCTTCCTTCATCAGTTTTTCCTGTTGCCTCCAGATGTTTCATTGTTTTTCTCCAAAGTATACACTCTATGAAATAATCATCTTCCATCTTGCACTCTTTCTCTGCCCAGTTAGTACCGATTCCATGTGCACATTCTATCCATTCTTTTTCAAAAGTACGGCATCGAGCATGAAACTTGTAGGGCTGTTCAGCACTTTGGATTGTTCACCACCAATCTAGGTTAATGCTGAACCTTTTCTGCACGTCCAAGAAAGGCATGGCGATCCGATGCTTGTGCCCTTGTCTCTTTTCTCTACTTTTGTTTTTTTAAGGAACTTCCATACTGTTTTCTGTAATGCCTATACTAATTTAAATTCCCACCAACAGTATGTGAGAACTCCCCTTTCGCCGTGTCCTTGCCAGCATTTGTTATATTTTTGCTCTTTTCAGTAATAGATTTTCTTTTTTTTTTTTTAGTTTTAGGGGATATATGTGCTTGTTTGTTGCATGGCTGTATTGCATATTGGAGGAGATGGGGCTTGTCGGGTACCCAGTACCCAAATAGTGAACATTGTACCCAATAAGGTAATTTTTCAGTCTTTGTCCCTTCCCACCCCTCCCCCCTTTTGGAATCCCTAGTGCCTGTTATTTCTGTCTGGCAATAGCTATTCTAACTAGGGTGAGATGATATCTCATTGTGGTTTTGATTTGAATTTCCCTTGTAATTAGTGATGTTGAACATTTTTCCATATACCTGTTGGCCATTCGTGTATCTTCTTTTGCGAGATGTCTATTCAGTTCATTTTCCCGTTTTTTAATAGAATTATTTTTATTTTTATTTTTTGCTGTTGAATTGTTTGGCTTCTTTGTATAAGAATTTCTTGGGAATTTAAATTAGTAGGGCCAGTATGGAAAACAGTATGGAGGTTCCTCCGAAACAAAACCGAAATAGAACACCATGTGGCCAGCAGTCGCACTACTAGGGATATATCCAAAGGAAAGGGTATTAATCCCTTGTGGGATGAGTAACTTGCAGGTATTTTCTCTCATTTTGCTGGTTGTCTTTTCAGTCTTGATTTTTTTTTTTTCCAGGCAAAAGCTTTTTAGTTTGATATAATCCAGTTTGTCTGTTTTTGCTTTTGTTGCTTGTGCCTTTGACGTCTTCTCGATAAAATCTTTGTCCAAACCAATGTTCTGAAATGTTTCCCCTGTGTTTTCTTTTAGCAGTTTCATGGTTTCAGCTCTTATATTTAAGTCTTTAATCCAATAGGAGTTAATTTTTTTATAGGGTGAAAGAAAAGAGTCCAGTTTCATTCTTCTCCATATGGATATTTACTTATCCAAGCATCACTTATTGATGAGACCATGCATTTCCCCACGAATGTTCTTGATGCCTTTGTCAAAAACTGATTGGCTATAAATATGTGGATTTATTTCTGGATTTTCTGGGTTCTTTGTTCTGTTCCAGTGCTTCTGTTTTTATGCTAGCGTCATGCTGTTTTGGTTACTGTAGCTTTTTATAGTATATTTTGAAGCCAGATGATCTGATGCTTCCAGCTTTGTTATTTTTGCTCAGGATTGCTCTGGACGTTCAAGGACTTGTGTGAGTCTATATGAGTTTTGGTATTTTTTTTTTCGTTTCTGTGAGGAATGTCATTGGTGTTTTGATAGGGATTGCATTTAATCTGTAGATCACTTTTGGCAATATGATCATTTTCACAATATTAATTCTTCTAATTCGTGAACACGGGGATGTCTCTTTATTTTTGTTTCTTCTTCAACTTCTTTCATTAGTGTTTTATAGTTTTTCTTGTAGAGATCTTTCATCCCCTTGGTCTCAAACTCCTTGGTCTTTCATCCCCTTGGGCTGAAGCTATCTTCATGCCTCAGCCTCCCAAAGTGCTGAGATTATAGGTGTGAGTCACCGCACCTGGCTCTTTCATCTTAAATTTATTAAGGATTGTAATTATTTGTAACTATTGTAAATGGGATTGCTTTCTTGATTTCTTCCCCCCTGAAAGTTCATAGGTGGTGTATAGAAATGCTACTAACTTTTGAATGTTGATTTTGTATTCTGCAACTTTATGAATTTATTAAGTTCTACAAGTTTTTTTGGTGGCGCTTTTAAAGTTTTTTATACATAAGATCATGTCATCTGCAAACGGGCAATTTGACTTCCTCCTTTCCAATTCGGATGTCTTTCTTTCTTTGTTTTGCCTAATTGCTCTTGCTAGGATTTCCAAAAACAGGCAAAAATTTCCATCTCAGTATACCTAGACGAAATTTGAGGTGTTTCCTTCCAACCTAAATGCTATGAAAGCTAGTTTAGAAAGTCATTTGAAAAGCTAATACATAAATGAAGGAATTATATTGCAGCTGTTTAAATGAACCCAAGACTAGAAGGCTGCACAGCCAGCTTGTTCCTCCTCACTGCTCCCTTCCCCACTCTATCGCTGTTACTTCCCGACTTGGGAGTCATTGCTTGCTGAGCTTTTCCCTCATCTGTGTTAGATGCCACTCCTTTGAGTCCGACAGCACCCCATGCCTGGCTCTGTCATGCTCTGTTGCCATTGAAATGTTCCTCCCCTCTCCTGTAAGCTCCTTGAGCTCCAGGACTGTCTTTTTCATCTTTGTATTCCCGTGACTGGCATATGTCAGTGAATAATAGATAACTAGTTAGGAGGCTGTTTGAGTTCTCAAATCTTTGACCTCAAAAGCTTTTCATACGTATGAGAAAACAACAAATCGTTGCCCCTGTAATCTCAGTTGACATAGCATCCCATCAATTGGAAATTTTGTAATGTGAAAGGGATTCAGTTTGGATTCCTGACTGCCCTTCACTGGCCATGTGGCCCTTCACTAGCTTGCTTGGGCAAGGCACTGAATTTGTTTTTCTAGGCTTTAGTCTTGAATCTTTTCAGTGAAAGGTTTGAGTGGGTGATCCTTACGGTCCAAAATAGCTGCAAAGCTCTGTGGCCTGGTAGCAGAGTGGAGTACTGAAAGAGTAGTCACCTGACAGCTGGCGCTAAGTCCCTTCTTCATCCAACCACTGAGTAGCCTAGTAACCCATGCTTACCAAGTATTTATACATATCCATTATGCCTTGAAGATTTGTGTATGTGATGTGCCAGAGGCAAAAAAAAAAAAAAGCTAACATAGTTTAGCGGCACAGATATGAAGTTAGGTATAATTTGTGTTAATTATATTTTGCTGTATTCTTCTTATGTGAAAATTGGTTATTCGCATGTGGTGTATGGGTCATTAGGACATTGCATTAATGATGATATTTCTCCATTTCTTTGTCTTCCTGCTTAATATGTATTTAGGAAAGTTACATCTTGAAAATGCTTGAAATATAGTCAAAAAAGGTAATTTGAATTATGTTTTAATGTTGGCAGTGTATTTTATTTTGCTTCAAGAAAGTTTAATAAAATTAAATAAATGCAAAACAATCTCAACAATGTAAACTTTTACCTTTTTGATATTTTTTTTATTCGTAATGGTCAGGATTCTGATTTTTGAATTTTGTTTATTTTTATATCCTTCCAGCTCATTTAGAGGCTAGTTTTGAGGAGATAGAGAACAACAACCTGCTGCATCTTGAAGACTTATGTGGGCAGTGTGAATTCGAAAGATGCAAACATATGCAGTCCCAGCAACTGGAGAATTACAAGAAAAATAAGAGGTGAGTTTGAAAAATTTTCCTCAGTGTTCATTTTCAGTCTTGAATTTTTCCATACATGCTACTGTTTAGAAGTTGCGGCTGATAAAAGACAACATTTCAACACATAAAACTGATAAATAAGCTTTCCAAAACATTTGTTCAAACCACTATCTGTTGCCATATTTTGAGGATGAGTTATAAAAAGCTCAGGAGAGGGTAAAACATGAATCTCAAATATAAAATGGAGGAGTGGAGCACAAGGCAAAGTTTTCCAGCAAAATAGGGGCTGTGAGCTAGTTTTCTTCAAATGGTAAATGACTGGGCTGCTCTTTTCTTTTCTTGCTCTTCTTCTCCGTTACTAGAGCAGGAGGGAATGAACCTGAGCTCAGGCTGTGGAAAGGGACTGAAGGGCTTTGAATCTCAGCTCGGTCCACACTACCTATGGGACCTTAGGCAAATTATTTTATCTCTCTTGGCATCAATGTCACTGGTTTATGATGGGGATGATGATGTTCCCCTATCATAGAGTTGCTATGAGGATTAAATGAATTAATTGTTACCTAATTCAGTTAGTGCTTTGTAAATATTAGTTATTATAATGGTTGTCATCACTAGGCCAACCTGAACTGGAGAGGGAAAAGGAGTCTAAGGGTAACAGCCTGCTTGAGTAGCTCTGGCATCCCAAGTCCTGCGGTGGCCATCTCTGCGATGGAAGGTACAGGGTTGGTATTTCTGAAGTCCGTGGGGAGTCAGTCTCAGAGGGCATGAGACAGATTGTCGTCTGTGCTGGGCACCTCTGGCACTGAAGCTGGAGGAGGGATTTGCTAGATGGGAGGAAGCAGAAGTCATGGGATAGGGTCTGACTGTTGCACAAGAGCAGATTTGGTGGGAGAGGGAGTGGATAGGTTTGGCAGAGTACACTGTGAGTATTAGGACTGTTGATAAGTGGAGTTGTTCTGGGTCTAGGATGTGACAATAACAGGAGTGGGTTTCTGTCATATACAGAGGAGTTGGTCACTAATATACCACACTCCCCCCATCCCCAAGAAAGTTAATACTTAGGTGAGGTAGATTACCATCTTGATGTTAAAGTCTTCTAGGATGAGTCCAAGGGATGAGGCAGAAATGAATAGAAAAGAGCGTTTTAGGGCACAAGTTCTCAATGAGGGTCATGTATCCTTAGAGTTGGGCCCTAAACATTAATGAGCCATAAGAGTCACCTGGGGAGAGTACTTAAAATCAGAATTCCTGGGCTCCATCTTTGGGGAGTCCATTCTAAAGTTAATTCCAGTGGAGAAAGTTGAAATGACTCCTTATTCCACAAGCCTTTACAGTGGTTTAAATTTAGAATGGTTTAAAACAGACATTCTAGGTGATTCTGATATGGATGGTCTCTGGACCACATTTTGAGAGACTGCCGGGCAGGGATGGCAGATGGGCTGTGTGCAGGCTGTAGATGGAAGAGCTTCAGAAGTGCTCCGGGGGGGCATGGATCAAACTGTTCACAGAAGGTTGTATGTATGTGAATTCTCCAGAGGTGCTTTCTATAAATTTCATTTATTATAGGAGGGCTTATGGCAGCATTAAGAATTAAGTCCTTGTCAGAGAAAGGACATTTTTCTTTTGAGATGGAGTTTTACTCTTGTTGTCCAGGCTGGCGTGCAATGGTGCGATCTTGGCTCCCTGCACCCTCCACCTCCTGGGTTTAAGCATCTCTTTTGTCTCAGCCTCCCGCATAGCTGGGATTACAGGCATGCGCCACCATGCCCAGCTAATTTTTGTATTTTTAGTAGAGATGGAGTTTCACCACGTCGGCCTGGCTGGTCTCAAACCCCTGATCTCAGGTGATTCACTTGCCTCAGTCTCTCAAAGTGCTGGGATTACAGGCGTGAGCCACCACACCCAGCCTAGCCAAGGGACTTTTGAATGAGTGGGTGAGCCTTGTGACCCAGGGCATTTATAGACTGATACGTGGGTGTGGGAAATGAGGAAATTCCCTTATGGGGAAGGTAGCAGAGGTTGAAATGGTCAGACTAGTCTTCATTGTTAAATGAAAAGGTAGAGGGACATTCTGTTGTAAAGAAGTTAGGCATGAGGCCGGACACAGTGGCTTACTCCTGTAATCCTAACACTTTGGGAGGCCGAGGCTGGCAGATCACCTGAGGTTGGGAGTTTGAGACCAACCTGACCAACATGGAGAAGCCCCATCTCTACTAAAAATACAAAATTAGCCAGGCGTGGTGGTGCATGCCTGTAATCCCATCTACTCGGGAGGCTGAGGCAGGAGAATCGCTTGAACCCAGGAGGCAGAGATTGCAGTGAGCCGAGATCACACCATTGCACTCCAGCCTGGCCAACAAGAGCAAAACTCGTCTCAAAAAAAAAAAAAAAAAGGCATGAAAATATGTGTGTTTATAATGCAACAAGAGTTTCAAGGAACATGACAGGAAGGCTTAGAATTTTGAGAGGAAATTTTTGCAAGAAGTTGGACAGCTTGGGTACAGGTCATGTGACCCTAGAAGGTGATTTTCTTGTCTATAAGTTGGGGTAATAATAGTACAGTACTTCATAGGATTTTAGAGAATCAGTAAAGTGCTTGGAATAGTGCCTGGCACCAGCTAAGTGCTCTGTCTGTGGTAGCCAGCTCTGACTAACTTGTATTACTACTTGTGCAGCTATAAAGAGATGGGTATTCCATATTTTTAATAGACCATTTTTTTTTGCTACATAATATAAGAATTATATGAATATTGTGATTTTTCTGTCAAGATGTGTTGAAATTTGATTGTTGAAATATATTATAGCAAGACCTCAAATATATTGCAGATTCTGTTCCAGGCCACTACATTCTGCAGTAAAGCAAGTTACATGTTTTTTTGCTTTCCTAGTGCATATAAAGTTATGTTTATACTATACTGTATATAGTCCATTGGTGTGAACTAGCATTATGTCTTAAAAAACAATATACTTACCTTAATTAAGAATACTTTATTGCTAATCATCATTAGCCTTCAGGGAATTATAATCTTTTTGATGGTGGAGGGTCTTGCCTCTATGGTAATGACTGCTGACTGATCAGGTGGTGGTTGCTGAAGGTTAGGATGGCTGTGGCAATATCTTAATTAAAATAAGATAACAATGAAGTTTGCTACATCACTTGACTCCTTCTTGCAGGAAAGATTTCTCTGCGGCATGCATTGCTATTTGACAACATTTCACCCAGAGTAGAATTTCTTACAAAATTGGGATCAATCCTCTCAGACATTGCTGCTGCTTTATCAGCTCAGTTTATGTAACATTCTGTATCCTTTCTTGTCATTTCAACACTGTTCACAGCATCTTCTCCAGTAGATTTCTTCTTAAGAAATCACTTCCTTTGCTCACCATAATAGATATAACACTGAAAAAGTTTGGAATATTGTGAGGATTCTGAAAATGTGACACAGAGACGTAAAATGAGCACATGCTGTTAGAAAAATGGCACTGGCTTTCTTGACACAGGGTTGCCACAAATGTTCAATTTATTTAAAAAATGCAGTATCTGCAAAGTGCAATAAAATGAGGTATGCCCAGACTTTAATACATAAGATCGAATTTCAGGTTTTAACAAGTTAAGATGATTAGATAGAAGAGCAAGCAATAAGATTTGGAGCTACAAAATTTTATTTGCTTTTCTTCACTCTCACCTAGTGACTTAGATAATTTTTGTGCTATAAAATGATGGCTGGGTATGGTGGCTAATGGCTATATTCCCAGCACTTTAGGAGGCTGAGGCAGGAGGATCACTTGAGCCCAGGACTCTAAGACCAATCTGCCTACACAACATAGACCCCATCTCTACAAAAGAAAAAAAAAATTTTAATTAGCTGGGCATGGTAGTGCACGCCTGTAGTCCCAGCTACTCCAGAGGATTGCTTAAACCCAGGAGGTTGAGGCTGCAGTGAGCCATGATCATGCCACTGCAGTCCAGCCTGGATGATAGAGCAAGACCCTACTTCAAAATAAATAAATAAAGTAAATTTAAATTAAAAAATAAAATAAAAATTTAAGGTTTGGGAAAAAAAAGCATCACTTTTAATTTAAATAAAAGCCAAAATCTGAGTCTCACTGTGTTTTATGTAATTGAAATGGCAGCATATTTGTATTTTTGGAGGTAGAATTGTGTAGTACCAATAGCATTCTTCTTAGAGTTAAAAGACCCAGGTTCTGGCGTCATTGGTAATGAACTCTGTGCTCTTGGGCAAGCCATTCAGTTTCCTTTATACCTTATTCTGTTGTAAAGCTTTACTTAGTCTGGAACTTTCTTGATTAGCATTTTTAAAACTTCTTTAAAAATTGCATCTTTTAAATAAACTTAGATGTGATAAACAGATTTGTTGATAATGCCTGTAACTCTGAAATATGTAAGAAAAAATAGTGTGCCAATTGAGAACTACCAGCTTATAATCAGTAGCTTGAAATCTATAAATAATGGTAAATATTTTATACTATGATAGGCCAAATTTTCTAAAATTATAAAATCATTTTCTATTTCTCAAGGACAGCGTGAGAGAGATTAATGTAAATGTCATAGTAGTTTTTAAACATAAGAATTTCAGTGAAAAGTTTCAAGGGTGAGAAAGAAACTTAAACTAGTACTTGGACTTTTTAAGATGTAATTTAAAAAAATTATCTATGTAGACATTTCTTAATAGCCTTATTAGTAGCCTATAAGTATAACATCTTTATAAAATATTAATAAATATCAATTTTGCATCTAATTGTCTCGTAAGACATTAGTCTTGTGATTTAAATTAATGGCATATTTTTATCTTGATATCATATGGATTCAATTCAAAATTAAGAGAAATACTATTTGTTTGTATTATTGTGAGGAGTCCTTGAAGATCTCAGCTTGAATTTTTTCTCTGCCACTTGTTACCTGTTTGACCTTTTACAAGTGACCTATCCTCAGCTTTCTTATCTGTAAAATAGAAATAATGATAATTTCTGGCAAGGTTATTGAAGAGGAGACAGTTTTCTTCTTAAAGGGCCAAATAAGAGGTTCTCAGAATCACTTGTAACTCAATTCTAGTTAACTTGCTTCACTAAATACAAATAGTGGAAATACAGAATATGAAACATTGCTTAAATCTATAAACTGTTATTTTCCTGAATCTCTTAGCCTGTTTCTTCAGCATATAAAAGGATGAATTATCTATTTAAAAGAAACCTTTTAGAAGTGATTTATTTAGTCTGATTATTTATACAGTTGATTAATAATCATAGTATAAATATGTTTTTGGTTAAAAAATAGTTGAGCAATTTTATTTGGTCAAATATAGATTAAAATATATTTTAGGTCGGGCGTGGGGGCTCAAGCCTGTAATCCTAGCACTTTGGGAGGCCTAGGCAGGCGGATCACGAGGTCAAGAGATCAAGACCATCCTGGCCAACATGGTGAAACCCCGTCTCTACTAAAAATACAAAAATTAGCTGGGCATGGTGGTGTTTGCCTGTAGTCCCAGCTACTCAGAAGGCTGAGGCAGGAGAATTGCTTGAATCCGGGAGGCGGAGGTTGCGGTGAGCCGAGATTGTGCCACTGCACTCCATCCTGGCGCCTGGTGACAGAGTGAGACTCTGTCTCAAAAAAAAAATTAAATTCAATATGTACAACATTTGCTATTTAGAGATATGTCATTTACATTTTAAACTTCTTTGTTACTCTTATTCATTCTTGAGGAATCAAAACTGGGAATGTAATGAAGGCTAGTGTAATTACACCAAAATACTTTTGACTGATACAGAACTTCCATTTAACACAATGTATTGAACAATTATCTTTACTGAAAACCCACTAAGATGATAATAAAGAGCTTTTAAAGTTACAATTTGAAAGAACCAGAAGAATGGAAAAGAAATAGCAGTAGATGAGAAATGATATCAACTTTGACAAGATGGAAAGTAGATAAATAAGTGGTAGCTCAAGAAGGCTGAAACTGTAGAGGGGAACTCAGACAAGAGATATGTGCTGGCGTGTACTGCGGAATTCTAGAAGGGCTCAGGAATTGAAGGTACCAGGATCTTCAAAGATAAGGTGTATTGAAAGCACATACGTGAAGTAAGATTCCTTGATCCTCTGCTTAGCCAGGTGATCACCCCATCCCTACCTCATCAAATTGCACCTGAGAGGCTCCAGACTTGACTGTAACACGTTCCAGGACAGGTAGAGATACAACTGTATTGAAAACAGAGGAACTAAGTGAAAGCCTACATAGTAAGACTGTTTAGGCCCCTTTCCCCAGTGGGTCAGAACTCTGGCACCCATACTCACCTTCCCTGTGCAGAAGAATGGAGGGTTCATCTGCAAAACTGCACCAGACCAGCCCACAAGAAAGGGCCTGCAGATACGGACATTTAGGGAGTTCTCTGGTGAAACAACTAGGTCTGCACTTACCACCTTGTGGTGCTGAGCCCACACTTTGCATAACTTTGAATCAACTTTTGGTGCCTCACTCGAATATGAATGCACAGCTGAGGAATCATTCAATTGAAGAAAGCTTCCAAAATGAAAGCAACTGAAATACATTAACAATATGCTAGTAATCAATATTTTTTGAAACCTGCAGAAGAACAAGAGACTGAGGAGCAGAGGAAAACTTAAAAACGAGGCCAGGGACAGTGGCTTATGCCTGTAATCCCAGCATTTTTGGAGGCTGAGGCGGCGGAACACAAGGTCAGGATATTGAGACCAGCCTGGCCAACATGGTAAAACCCCATCTCTATTAAAAATACAAAAAATTAGCCGGGCATGGTGGCATGCACCTATTATCCCAGCTACTCAGGAGGTTGAGGCAGGAGAATTGCTTGAACCTGGGAGGTAGAGGTTGCAGTGAGCCGAGATTGCACCACTGCACTCCAGCTGGGTGACGGAGGGAGGCTCTGTCTCGAACAATGAAAAACTGTAATTGGTAGCGTCAGATAGATGAGACTATCTTGTAAGAACTCATTTTGTATTTATGAGATAGGAAAAGATGCTATAGAAAAGGAACAATTAAAAACAAGAAAGAGCTTTTAGAAATAAGGTAGCAAAAGTAGAAAACTTCAAGTGAAGCATTGGAAGCTAATGTTAAACCTCGAAGAGAGCAAAAAGTCTGAGGAAAAACTAAGAATGTTAAGAAGATAATTCATCAGTCCAATATTTGAGTACTAGGAGTTTCAGAAATAAAGGAGAGACAAATTTATTAAGGAAATAACATAAGGAAATTGTCCAGACCAGCCCACAAGAATATGAGTGTTTGAAGGATATGAGTGTTTGAGTTTGAAAGAGCCCATGAAGTGCCTGACAAAATGAGTGGAGAAAGGTCTGTTGTCGAATAATATTTTTGTAAATTTCACTACCCTAGGAATAAACATCATAAAAGCCTTCAAAAAGGTTTTATATTAAGGATCAGGAAACAAAAGGAACATCAACTTTTCAGCAATAATGCTGAAAGTAGAAATGGTTACTAAAAATATTTACTGGGCAAAATTTGTATCAAGCCTGAGGAAATAAAGTCATTTCCAGACAGCCAAGGGCTCCAGTGTGGTTGATGTGAACAATGTGTCAGGAAGCTCCTGGAGGATGCTCCACACACAAGGGAGTAACCCAGAAGGAGGAAGAGCCTGCACAGGGCAGAGATGAATCACCCCAGGATTCATTCCGTTCAGAAGAGACACAGGGAATTTCAGGGAGGGGGTGAGAAGCTTCAGCAAGCCTGGAGAGCAGTTCATATTGGGACAGGAAGACCTTCTGGAGAATTCTAAGAGTAGCGTTTCCAAGGGAGAAAAAAGCTAATATGTTGTCGAATAGGTGTAGCAGCATTAAGAAGAGTTTTTTGACTCTTTATTCATTTATAACTTTATTATTATTATTTTTGAGATGGATTGTGGCTCTGTAGCCTAGGCTGGAGTGCAGTGGCATATTTGGGCTCACTGCAGCCTCTGCCTCCTGGGTCCTGGTTCAAGCAATTCTCCTGCCTTTGCCTCCTGAGTAACCGGGATTACAGGCGCATGCCACCATGCCCAGCTAATTTTTGTATTTTTAGTAGAGACAAGGTTTCACCATATTGGCCAGGCTAGTCTTGAACTCCTGACATCGTGATCCACCCGCCTTGGCTTTTCGAAGTGCTGGAATTACAGGCATAAGCCACCACACCTGGCCTATAACTTTAATTATTAAATCCTAGTGGAGGGTTGAATGATGAATTAGAGATAAGTATTTTTTTTTTAAAAACCGAGCAAACAACAACAAAGTAGATATTAACACTGAGGGGAAACAGAGTTTTATAAGAAGAGAAATAATATACTACATGGCTCAGTCACAAACAGTATTTATGTGATATTGCAATAAATAAAAGCAGAATTATGATAAAACTTGCT